GGACGATTAACATCCCTATCGATTAACAACTGATACCGCAACAAAATATTATCGCTCAGATCTAGTGTAACATGAAAATCAAACCAATCGAATAAACGATAGATTTAGTCAACCTCAAAAAGATCTTACTTATCGAATGGAAAATCCAGAACAAAGAGAAGAAGGAAGCAGACAAGGTGCCTTTAGTTCAAAAGTTGAGTGCAATAAACAAAATAAAATTGTGGTATGTATCTCTATCCTTAAATTCTTTACTTATTTAATGACACCATAAACTATCGATTATTAGACATCGATGATATATTCCGACTTTGACATTTTGGACAAACCTTGGTGGAAACATCCTTTTGATGAACATAATGCGAGACATTTAATCTCAAAGATCAGGCACTTCCAACGGGCTATAATATCGGCAGTTGATAATGAAAGTGAGGAACTCTTTTGGAAGGGATACATTGACCTTCACCGTGAACGTTATCTACTCGAATGTATTTCTGCGGAAAGCAATATTACACTCACTATTAGTTATGTACAACAGCTGCTCAGGAAACCTAGTTCTCTAAGAATGTTTTGCGGAAAGATTTTTGCAAGTTGCATTAAACCTGATGAACAACGTTTGGCTAGAAAAGTGCAAAATCTTCATGTTGCGATCATTGACACTTTCCCTTCTATCTTTTTTCCAGATCTTCAAATAGATCGCTTTACACCTGAGTTTGCAAAAAAATTGCATCTAAAAATTGGAAACGGATTAATCAAGGATGCTGGGCAGTATAGAACGAAATTTGTTATGGCAGCACAAGAAAACTATGTATACATGGCACCAGATTTGATAAAAGATAGAATGGAAACGTTATTTCGTCAATGTAGAGAAAAATTTGAGGATACAGACTTGCGGTTAGAGGATGCCATTAAATATGGGGCATGTTTTCTCATACACTTTTTGACGATTCACCCCTTTATGAATGGAAACGGAAGAGTAGCAAGATTGCTTTTGAGCTATCTTTTATTAAAATTCACTGTGGTACCACTTTCTTTATATACAGGTGTGAAAGCACGAGATGTGTATCTACAATGTATACGCGAGGTACGGTATCAAGATCCATTTAAACCTTGTGCACTTGCAAGCTTTATACTTGAATGTGTATACATGACATCTTATAATATATGTGTCGTGATGGATATAGATGTTTAAAATTAATAATAGAAATAAATTCTGTTATGGTGTGATACTATATTTTACATTAAATTAACAAAAGAGTTTTATTTCGGTAGGAAAATATTTATCGATAATATATTAAAAGAAATGAAAGCATAGATAAAATTTAGATCATAAGTATGATTTACAAGCACTTGTACCCAATGATGTACTGTACCTTGCACGAATAATACTTGTGATTTTGTGTGATTTGCAGAAGATAACATCATATCTCGCGCGAGACAAGCTATCTGATTAATCAAATATTCTAAATGAGTTCATATTAAATGACACGCTCGAATTTGCACGATAGAGCCTCACACGATATATGGGAAATATACGATAGGTTTATCTCATGAGGATTACAATTGTATGTATATTATTTGTACCACGAATATAGCATCTTGAAGCACAAGACGCGCAAGAAATCTTTATAAAAGTTTAAAAGCAAAATTTCAAGTTCTACGCAGATTAACTTAAAAGTCTTTTACTAAATGCACCTATGGTGTTTACATCTATGAATTCATTATTCTCAGACCCCAAAAACTAGCTAATGAATCAGTGTGAAGTAAAAATATTCTACACTCCAAAATCTTTCCTAAACTTTAATTCTAATCCTAAATACTAACCATAACGTAAAAAGTTTTATCTTAAAAATTTTATATACTAAGAATCTATAAAAATATAATAAAAAAAGCATATAATAGGTGACATACCACCATAGGTGATGTGTTTTTATTCCTTAAACCATCATAATAAGCGGGCAAATTTGAATGATTAAATAATTTGACAAAAAATAGAATATACAGTATAAGTTCATAAACTTTTACAATATTTGGCAAAGTTTTTTTTACTTGTTTTCAAAATAACTCTTCTGGTTAAAATACTGACTATTTTGAAAAATTCACTAAAGACCCAAGATTTAACTCTAAGAAAACTACTTGAAGTATACCTGTACTTCAGTATATTATATTTTTAAACTTTATCAACAACAACTTACTCTTGGTATAACTAAGAATAGTATCTATAGTATCTAAGTCTTTCTATAATATTTTTTATGATTGAGATTTTTAAAATAGTTATTTTTTTAGAAATAGTTCTTAATATATTGATAAAAAAAATATTAATATTTTTTTTGTTATGTAAATGCCATAGTTGAAATTTAAGTTAATAAAGTAGAAAGTAATCTACATTTAAAGATTTCAAGATTACATTTATGTCATTATAAAAATGTTTAATAATTGTTGCAGATTAAAATGAAATCTAATCAAAATGAAATTAGAAACCTCTCATACCCACTTTTAGAGTCTATAAAACCTATATATACTCATTTATTAATAAATCTAACCCTAAACACTACTTGACATGGGTTAAATCGTGCCTCTGTATTTCATAATGCTGTGATCTGCATAAGATCAGGTTCATGTAACTAATACGTTGTATGATCTTGATTATTTAAACAAGATAAGATCTTAGAAATAAGAACAGTTGATTTTTAGTTTTAGAATTAGTCTTAGAACACCTCTGGGACTCGTAAAATGTGTTGATGACATTTTTCTTTTTTGAAGATCTGCAAAGCAAGAAACGATCAGTATTATGTAAAGTTGATCAATTTTGAATCAATCAAACTGAAATTTTGAGGGTATATCTTATGAAATATTCTGCAAATATTGTACTAAGTTTATCTTAAGACAAAATCACCATTGGAGATCGTAAATTGCAGTGACAGCATTTTTCTCTCAAATCTTAAAATTTGATTTTTTTTTTTTTAATATTAATAGTAAGGCCATGCCTCTAACTTTATTGAATATTTAATTGAAATCTTTACATAAAGTACTAATCTACTTTTAAAATATTATAGAAAGAATAGAGGCTCAGACTAGTTTATCTGCGACCT